TCCTCCCTTGTGCCCCTTCCCATTTGAACATTTTCTTCCTATTTCACAATATCTGTTGTAGTCAGGGTATGCAAAGGAATAGATTTAATACAGGACACATAATTTATAAGATTATTTTATAATATTCACCCTAAAAGTCAAATGCAGAGGAGTGCAAGAGGTCTGTCCACACACTAGAGACCCAAAGAATCCAGCTGAGGGCCTGGAACCTACAGCAATGTCCCACACAAGTCCAGCCAGTGGCCTGGAGCCCATGGTAAAAATTCATGCTTGTCCATATGGAGGATATGCACCAGGAAGGCCCAAGGTCCAGCGGTGGAAGCTAGAAAGCCTGCATCAGCAGGGTAAAGATCTATAACACCAGGCTGAGGGATCTGCGCTGGAGCCAGGGAGCACTCTCAAGGCGAAGATCAGAGCTCCCCTGACAAGAACAGCAGCCATTCCCAGGAACAGCAAGGACTAGAGTTCCTCCAACAATGAGAACAGCCGAGCTTGTACCAGGAAAACTAGTCACAGCAAGGCACCCCAGGAAAATCAACAGCATATGATCTTCCTCTCTAGTTCTCTTTTTATGTCATTGGCAACAATTCTCAGGTGGGTCTTTCCAAGCTGACCATTAGTTAATCTACCACAATATCTATTATACATTTTGGTCTTTATTTACACTTACAGTTTCTCACACTAGAGAAACAATGTAATATTTACACATATGTGTCCTGCTTATTTTACTTAAGAGTATGGTCTCTAGGTGCATCCATTTAGCTACAAATGTCTCAAATTTATTCTTCTTTATGGCTGAGTACTACTCCATTAAATTAAAAAAACACATCTTGAGTCGCACAGAAGACGCCGAATCAGCGCGCTGCAGACAGGCAGGTCTGTGCACGCCCTACCGAGGTCCTGAGTCACATGAAAGACACCGAATCACCCACTGCAGACAGGCAGCCACCTGATTCCACACTACAAAGACACAGAGGACACCAGAACACCAGACCAAGGTACTGAGTCCTGCTGTTCCTGGCCCAGAGGTAGGGGCTTCTGAGCCGTTGTCCCACTGCTCCTGGTCCAGAGGAAGGGGCTTCCCGGTCTCCATCCCTCCCGCTGCTCCCAGCCCAGAGGAAAGGGCTTTTGGGCCACCTGCTGTCATGCTGCTCCTGGCCCAGAGGAAGGGGCTTCCGGGACACCATCCCTCCCATCGCTCCCCGCCCAGAG